CCATATTAGAGAGCACAGACAGAAAGCTCTGCTGGACAGCGCTGTCCTAGAGAGTTTGAAGTACAGAATTTGGAAATAATACTGATGGGCTTCAGGCTGCTTTGCAGAGCCTCCTCTGCTCATAGACAACATAGGAAAATAATAATAATTGTATATCTCCCTACTGGACCCTCTTTTGTAAAGCACTATGCAAACAAGCCATGTCTATCAGAGGGGGCATGTTTTTAAACATGCATTTAGTCCCCAGCTCTCTAGAATCATTGATCACATAGCCCTGTAGTTTCCTTCATGTGCTGTCCTCATTTTGGTTCTGACGTGGCCCCAAGACCAGAGACAGCCCATGGAGGGCAGGCCCACTTATGGCCCTTCATGGCCCCCAGCCCACCCAGGCACACCAGTGTGTAATTGTTTCACTCATGTCTTTTGTGATTGTCTTCCCTCTTACTTTTGCAAACTTGGTTCCCTGAGAAAACTTCCTGTTTTCTTTCTGTTCATCTGGCTGTTTCTCAGCTAAAAAATATTTTGTCATGAAATATGGTAATGATTTGCAGAAATCTGTGCCTGTCCATAAATACTGATTTAAGCTGCTGTTAGGCAATTCTCATGTCGTTTCCAGGTGTAGTTTTCGAATTCCACCCCAGACATGCATCAGTGTGTGGTGGGTTAACAGGAGAGGGAAAGGTTTTACCGCACAAACACAAACAGATGGCCTTCACATTTGAATGCCTCTGTGCACATTTATGTGTGTATTCATTTGTTTTTTGAGGAATTAAGAGAGTGGGAAGGTCGCAGTAAAACCCAGGTTCCCAGCATCTCCATGGCAACTTTTTTTTAATTTATTTTTTTATTCTTATGTTAATCCCCATACATTACATCATTAGTTTTAGATGAAGTGTTCCATGATTCATTGTTTGTGCATAACACCCAGTGCTCCATGCAGAATGTGCCCTCCTCAATACCCACCACCAGGCTAACCCATCCTCCCACCCCCCTCCCCTCTAGAACCCTGTTTGTTTTTCAGAGTCCATCATCTCTCATGGTTCGTCTACCCCTCCGATTTCCCCCGCCTCATTCTTCCCCTCCCGCTACCTTCTTCTTCTTTTTTTTTCTTAACATATATTGCATTATTTGTTTCAGAGGTACAGATCTGAGATTCAACAGTCTTGCACAATTCACAGCGCTTACCAGAGCACATACCCTCCCCAGTGTCTATCACCCAGTCACCCCATCCCTCCCACCCCACCCCCCACTCCAGCAACCCTCAGTTTGTTTCCTGCAATTAAGAATTCCTCATATCAGTGAGGGCATATGATACATGTCTTTCTCTGTTTGACTTATTTCACTCAACATAATACCCTCCAGTTCCATCTACGTCGTTGCAAATGGCAAGATCTCATTCCTTTTGATGGCTGCATAATATTCCATTGTATATATATACCACACCTTCTTTATCCATTCATCTGTCAGTGGACATCTTGGCTCTTTCCACAGTTTGGCTATTGTGGACATTGCTGCTATAAACATCGGGGTGCACGTACCCCTTCAGATCCCTACTTTTGTATCTTTGGGGTAAATACCCAGTAGTGCAATTGCTGGATCATATGTTAGCTCTATTTTCAACTTTTTGAGGAACCTCCATACAGTTTTCCAGAGTGGCTGCACCAGCTTGCATTCCCACCAACAGTGTAGGAGGGTTCCCCTTTCTCCGCATCCCCGCCAACATCTGTCGTTTCCTGACTTGTTAATTTTAGCCATTCTGATGGGTGTGAGGTGGTATCTCATTGAGGTTTTGATTTGGATTTCCCTGATGCCGAGCAATATTGAGCACTTTTCATGTGTCTGTTGGCCATTTGGATGTCTTCTTTGGAAAAATGTCTGTTCATGTCTTCTGCCCATTTCTTGATTGGAATCTTCGTTCTTTGGGTGTTGAGTTTGATAAGTTCTTTATAGATTTTGGATACTAGCCCTTTATCTGATATGTCATTTGCAAATATCTTCTCCCATTCTGTCGGTTGTCTTTTGGTTTTGTTGACTGTTTCCTTTGCTTTGCAAAAGCTTTTTATCTTGATGAAGTCCCAATAGTTCATTTTGGCCCTTGCTTCCCTTGCCTTTGGCGATGTTTCTAGGAAGAAGTTGCTTCGGCTGAGGTCGAAGAGGTTGCTGCCTGTGTTCTCCTTTAGGATTTTGATGGACTCCTGTCTCACATTGAGGTCTTTCAACCATTTGGAGTCTATTTTTGTGTGTGGTGTAAGGAAATGGTCCAGTTTCATTCTTCTGCATGTGGCTATCCAATTTTCCCAACACCATTTGTTGAAGAGACTGTCTTTGTTCCATTGGACATTCTTTCCTGCTTTGTCGAAGATGAGTTGACCATAGAGTTGAGGGTCCATTTCTGGGCTCTCTATTCTGTTCCATTGATCTATGTGTCTGTTTTTGTGTCCATGGCAACTTTGATACGTTGAGGTATTGACGTTGCAAGCAACCAAGCTTCATCGAGAGGACAAATACCATCCATGGCCTGCAGTCTTCAGGTGACTCATATCATCCAGAGTCTCAGTTGCCCTGTTGATAGTCACAGAAGGTGACTGTTGGCTTGTGGAATCAGAATGCCGCAGCTGGAAGAGTATCTCAGCAGGCCCACGGTGACTACCTCATCTCACAGATGAGGAACCTGCGATCAAAAAGAAGGAAGTGACTTTCCCAAGGTCTCACCATCATCCAAATCTAGAGTAGAAACCCGATCCCCTCTACCTGCTCTCCCAACTGCTCCTGTCACACAGGCCCTGCCATCATACACAAATTGCTTTCAACTCCCCATTCCATATTTCCACAGCTCTCGGTGTTGCTGGCTTTCCAGAAGTCTGTTTCCTCTCGGTTCATCAGCTCTGGTTTACCATCACCATTAATGAGGCTTAGTTTGCGTTCCCTTCCACTTGGATGATCTGATCTCCTTTTAATACTCTCCAAGTGTTAACACCAAGCCTCCAATCCTACAGCCTTGGGAGAAAGGCTTTAGAGTCTTTTTGTTGGTGAGATGAGCCTTGTAGTCTTGCCCCACCTCTAACCATCACAGAGACAAAAAATTAAAATGAAGCATGCAGCCGTAAACATTCCAAATGGTTTTGTTCCCATCGGGAGACCTTCAGCAGCTGTCTCTGAAAGGATGCAACAATTTACCTCCTCTCCCTGCCACTTTTATTTTTCTTTGCCTGTTTTATGTGTTCTTGTTAAGGAAAGCAAGGCAGTGAAGTTGAGAAAGTACCAATACATTGAGTAATCTCCGTTTTAGCTTTCCTACCTACTTTAGGTCATCGCCACCCCATCCCTACCTAGTTTTGAGCCATCCATCCCCATGCGCAAGGGTGATCACTTCAGCCTTGTGAAGTAACTCTAAAAACTGGAAACAATACTCACGCCCACTGATGGTGACCTGGGTAATGACTGATTCACAGCCATGCTATTGAGGGATGATTCAACGCTTGCCTTTTGGGGATGCAGACTGGGAAGGGTCATGCAGGACTGAGATAATAACGTTCGATGCCTTAATCTGCATGGTGATTTCCAGGATGTACACATGTGTAAAAATTTATCTTGCACTTTATTGCATATGCGTTATACATTGATTAAAAAAACCCATTAACAAAGGGGAAAAAAAGCGCTATGTTTATGGACGTGGAAATACATTCACTCTGTGTAGTTTGCAACAAGCAAAGGCCGCTTTGGAGGTTGAAACGAGGACACAGTGTGGCCCACGGGCCAATCTGTGTTTGTAAATAATCTTTTATGGGAACAGAGCTGAATTCATTCATTTATGTATTATTTAGGGTTGCCCTTGTGCTGTGTATTAGCCTTCCTAGGTCTAATGGAGAGGCTTAAACAACGGGAATTTCCCGTCTCATGGCTCTGGAGGCTGGAAGTCTGAGATTAAGGCAGCAGCAGGGCTGTGCCTGCTCTGAAGGCATGAGGGTAGCACCTGTTCCAGTCCCCTGTCCCAGCTTCCGGTAGTTGCTCGGCTTGTGGCTGTGTTAACTCCAGCCTTCGTGGTGGTGGTGGTCTCCCTGTGTGTGTCTGTGGTCAAATCTCCCCTTTTTTTGAGAACATCAGTCATATTGGATTGGAGGCCTTCCCTTCCCCCCGTGTGAGCGCATGTTAACTAATCACATCTGCAATGACCCTATCTCCAAATAAAATCATATTCTGAGGTGCGGGGGTTTATGGCTTCAACATACAAATTTGGGGAGGGTCACGGGTCAGCCCAGAACATGCTACAGCAGCCGCAGAGTGGAGTTGTTGTGATACAGACCGCATGGCCCACAGCTTAAACTATTTATTATCTTGTCTTTACAGAAAAAAGTTTGCCAATCCCTGCTTTATTTAAAAAAGTGTGTGTGTTTACACACGCATGTGTGCATACATAAGAAATTTGGAAAGCTGTTCACCAATGTGTTAACAGAGGTTGCCTCTGAATTATGAGGCAATTTAAGTTTTAATTGTAGTTTTGATATTTTCTATATTTGGGTTTCTAAAAATTATTATATAATAATTTCTATAATATAAATCGATAGTAAACATGTTTCCCTTGGGAGGAAGACATCGTTCCTATGCACTCACTCTCCCTTCTTGCACCCTACCCTAAATTCTCTTGTACCTTAATGGTTTATTTTGGTCTGATGCAAACCTTTCTAAATAGGCCACTGCTTCCCACTGTTGGGAGTGCTAAGGGCAAACACTTAGCAAACCAGCAAACTCAACTGTTTACTCACTTGGGCATAAGGATTCTTCTTTATTTAGCTGCCTCTTGTATGTAACTTGGAGAGAAAAGGTTCTGGCTTTTATCTCCTCATTAAAAATAGATCCTTTTATGATGAGGGGATGGGGCGGCCATGAGTCACCCTGTACAGAGTGAAAGAAAGCATGCGGTGCTGGATCAGGTCTCAGGAGCTGGTCCCCAAAATGTTACCCCACCATCCTCATGACTCCCTGGTTTTTTGTCATTGCAGGAAACTGGACGCTTTCATCTACGATGCGGCAGTCTTGAATTACAAGGCTGGGAGGGATGAAGGCTGCAAGCTGGTGACCATCGGGAGTGGGTACATCTTTGCCACCACTGGTTACGGAATTGCCCTCCAGAAGGGCTCCCCTTGGAAGAGGCAGATTGACCTGGCCCTGCTCCAGTTTGTGGGTGATGGTAAGACCTTGGGTGACCCCCTTTCTTTCAGGGGACTTGACACCCTTGCACTCTCTCTCTTTGCTGATTGGCTTTCCAATGGATCTTTGTATGATGCATTTGCTTACTATTTATTGGGTGCCTCTCACATGATACCATAGTTTTCTAGGTTGCTTATAATGGGAACCAATTTTAGACAACAAAATTTTCCAAAGAAACTTATTTTAAGGATGCAGAAGTGTCTATCTCAGTGAATTGAGGAAGGAGTTGAGCAAATAAGTTTAGGGGAAAAAAAGCAGGAATCGGAGCAGTCCTCGGGCCTTGATAGCAGGACTTCATAGGTCCTGTCCTAGAGTAGCAGTTCTCAATCAGGGCAGTTTTGCCCCCCGGGGGGCACTTGGCTATATCTGGAGACATCTTTGATTGTCATGGTTGGGAGGCCGTTTGCTACTGGCATCTAGTGGAGAGAGGTCAAGGATGCTGGCAGACACCTTACAATGCCCAGGACGGCCCCCTCATCTCAAAACACGGAATTATCTGACCCCAAATGTTAGTAGCCCTGGGGTAAAGAAACCATGACGTTACATGACTAGGCTCCAGTCCTAAACTCTGTTCTCTCGATTCTAAATTTCATATTCCAGAGGAAGGATTCTTGATGCATTTTGAACCAAAGACTCTTTCCTGGACCCATCAGGAGTGCCTAAGTGGTGGGGTTACATTGTACCAACACAGAGGCTCCTGATTTTATCCTATGGAGGAGTGAGGGAGAGGCAATCTCTAGAAAAGGAATATAAGCAGAAATCCCATGGGTTTCCACTACAGTCTACCTGCTTCTCCTGCCAAAAGACAGTTTCCACCCCCATGGGTCTTACAGTCTCTTGGGACCGTGGCGTTTATGGACCTCTGTAGGTGATTGGGCTGTGTCTCCAGCATCATTTCCTTCAGTCTGCCCTCTACTTCCTAGTTGGTGATCTCACTGGCTGGAGTTTTTTAGGATCCTGTCCTGGCTCAAATGGCAGGTTAACCCTGAGAACCTGAGTAAGCTGGGGCCCAGGGCAGCAGCTGCATCCAAGGACAGCTGGAGGCCATGTTCAGAGATGGTTGCAGAATATGCCATACCTCCCTGGAGCTGGGAGAGGAGAATCCGGCAACCATTGTGGTCAAATACAACACTGAAATGCACAGACATTCATGTGCAGTGTGGTATGATTTTGAACTAGGTACATATTTCCTTGCAACTTCTCCTCCTTTCTCTGCTCCCAGAATTAAGCCCTGGATTCTCAGAGTGCCATCAGAACATCTAAATGTGTTTTATATTTAACTCCCAAATAAGAACATCTGATCCTCTGAATTCCCTGTAGGGCATTTGTACCTTCTTGGGATCATGAGCCATGTTCTCTGTTCTGTAATAGTGACTTGTGGCTGTGTCGGTCAGCTCTGGCTGTGAAATCTAAGAGGCATACCCCACTAGGCCTTTATTTTGCTTGTGGGAGTGCAGGTTGAGTGGAGGAGCTCTGTCTCAGGCTGTGGTGGCCTTGGTGGCTCTGGGCCCTGCGGTGTACCCATGGATCAAATGTGCTGTCTGCTCTGCATGCATTTATTCTGGGACTCCAGCCGAAAGGGCAGGAGCCGCCTGGGAGAAGCTCTTTTCTTGGCTGTGTCACAGGCACAGAGGAGATACCCAACTGTACATGTGCATTTCAAGTCTCTGCTTCGCCATGGTCACATCTACGAACACCCTTCTGTCTAAGCAAATCTGATGGCCAAGCCCAAAGTAAAGAGATCAGAGGTACCCTCTGCCTTTTAAAGGGAGGGGGGGAGTTTGGAGTTACAGGACAAGGGGTGTGGACACAGGGGTGAAGAACTGGGACCATTTCCTCCACCTGACAGCCTGGTCGCCCAAGTCTCCCTACACAGGGTGAACTATTCAACAAATGAGCCTTGTTTCCATTAGTAAATACCACAAAATCCTGAACTTGCCCTGACCTGATAACTGGCCCATGAAGGACTGAGTGAACAAACACATGCACGGATGAACGGTGGGTGTCGAGGTGTATTTCATTTGACAGGACACTTTTAAATATGATGGGTAGCTGTCAAATAAGTGAGTTCGAACTCTACTCCTGTTAGTCCTTGCTGTTACTCTGACAGGATCTGTTCTGGAACAGCAACATATGCTAGTCACCACACTGCTGACATCACCTGGGTTAATAGTCATAATAACTTTAGAAGTTCAGTGTTGCTTCTACACATTTTACAGAGGAGGAAACGGAAGCGCAGAGGGCTAGCTAGTAAGTGGCAGAGTTTCTACTGCAGGGGCCTCGCTCTGGAAGTGGATCAATTATGTAAAACTGCTTCATTCAATTCACTAGGTTGTCTATCGAAGATGGCCAATTAGATGCTTGAGATTTATAGATCCTTTAGGAAGGAGTAATTTAGTGCATATCTGAACTAAATCTATTGTCCCACTGACAAATACTTCTATGAAGGGGGTCATCTTTCTTAGCCTCTGTTTACTCCTCTATGAATGAATGCATGCAGAAATATTTACCTGATAAAGTTGATGTCAGGATGAATGAGAGGATATGTGTAAAGAGCTTAGCTAAAGCACCTGAAAATAGAAATGGTTCAATAAATGCTAGCTATTACCATCATCTCCATCATCATTATCATGACCATCACCATCATTATCATTATATCATCATCACCAGCACCATCACCACCACCATCATCATCACCACCATCATCATCTTCATCATCATATCATCACCATCATCACCATTACCACCACCGTCATCACCATCATCATCATTACCACCAACATCATCACCATCATCATCACCATCACTACCACCATTATCATCACCATCAGCATCATCACCACCACCATCACCACCATCACCACCATCATCATCACCATCATCACCACTCTCACCAACACCAACATCATTTTATCACCAGCACGATCATCATCACCACCATCATCCTCATCATTACCATTCTCCACCTAAACCTCCTCCTCATTGTTGTCCATCCACAACTCCAGTATTCAGTACAGCCTATTTAGTGTTGTATTGGTGATAACAGTATCATGGAAACAACCTTTATGGTGCTGCACAGAAAATGTCCTCTTTCTGGCAAATAAAAAAATACAAAGTAAAGGCCCCAGAGAGGCCAGAAGTGTGTTCCTTGTTACTAGCAGGGCATCTAGATTCTTACACATATTTTCAGTCCTCACTCATTGCTTTCCTGGTCAGATTGTTGGGATTGGGAAACGTGTCTTCTCAGCTTCATCTTTAGAGACCATCTGGAAGCAAAGACATGGAAGAGAAAATGACATTGCTCCAGGGGGCGTCTTAAGATAATCTTCCCGGAAAGCCATGTCCAATTCGGAATGTCTCTCTAGGAGTAAATACATGAATTAACACAGCTGCATAAATATTTCACTTATCTTATGCAGCTTCAGCAGGATTAATTATGCTCTAAAATTAGACCTGTAAAGAGCACAGTGCTAAGCAGTACCTAATTATTATTCATCCTCTAGAATGGAGTGTTTATCTCTTGTTATAGAGTAGCTTCGGTGGACGATTACGAGTCTAATGAGTGTCAAAAGTATAAAAAATTTTCCTAATGAGCTGTGTAAATATAACCTTTGAGTGGAGTGTTTGGTTATTGAGGGAACCTCTTACATGAAGCCTGCCAGGCATTTCCCTAGGAAAAGGACTGGTGATTTCCCTTAAGGGGTACACAGGATCCCAATAAGACCTTACCTTCCTTTTCCTGTCTAACCTTTGTGTCCTTTCTGAGATAGTGTAGTGCACCATGGGGATCTTCGGTTCTCAGTACTTCAGTCACAACATTCATGGGTACTTTTCAGCATTGAACATCAATATCCAACCTTTACTGAGAAACATACTTTCCTAGGCACTGATGTTCCAAGAGGGGGATGTCATGGTCTTTTTCTTCTCTCCTTCAAGGAACTTACAGTCCTGTTGGTTGGCAATGAATAAACTTAAAATATCTCATCTCAAAATATAAACATTTATAATAATTCATATATATGAATTCATACATACATATGAGTATATTCTTAGGTATCTTGGATAGGTGAGAGAAGAGTCAAGGAAGAATATGGAATATAGGGTTTTTTAATGGGAAGATGAAAAGGCAGAGTAAGTCATAAGGAAAACGAGTCTAGTAAGAGCTCAGTGAAGAATAGAATGGGCCAGAGTTCACAGTGTCATTCATTAATTCATCCAGCAACCAGCAAGGATCTATTGAGTACCTGATAACTCCGTGGCACCTAAGAGGTGACACTGATGAAGAATATAAAGAATGAGTCAGGGGGCGCCTGGGTGGCTCAGATGGTTAAGCGTCTGCCTTTGGCTCAGGTCATGATCCCGGGGTCCTGGGATCGAGTCCCGCATCGGGCTCCCTGCTAGGCGGGGAGCCTGCTTCTCTCTCTGCCTCTGCCTCTCTCTCTCTCTCTCTCTCTCTGACTCTCATGAATAAATAAATAAAACATTAAAAAAAAAAAAGAATGAGTCAGTCTGGGACTTAAAAAATGGCATTTCTGGCTTCAAAGGAGAGGTTAAATGGGAGATCTGTTAGGTCCCATCAATCTCATGGATTTTGTAGTTTTTTTAAATGTGATCCTAGGATTTGAAGAGACAGAAGGAAGATCATAGAGGCTAAAGCCCTTTGGGTGTACAGAGGCCAGCAAGAAGATATTGAGAACAAGGTTGTATAATATTATTCAGCAGCAAGTGATGCTGAGGGTAAGGAAGGAAACCACTGTTTTTGAGCCCATACGCAATGGCCCAGTGTGGTGCCAAGTAACTCACAAATATTCTTAGCAACACTTCGTACAGTATTCTGGGGTACATCTTAGTATTTCCATGTTGCAGAGCAGGAAAATGAGGCTCCATTGGGTTTAGTGAGCTACAGCAGAACTTTTAAACTTCAGTGTAAACAGGAATCACCTGGGGATCTTGTCAACCGGCAGACTGTTTCAGTCGGTC